GCAGGGGAGGCACTGGCAGCCAGTGGCAGACTCCAATCCTCCCTCAGCTGCCTCTCTGGGGCCTGCACACAGGGTTCTCCACGGGGGCCCTTGCTTAGAGGAGGCTCTCCCTGCCATGGCATCCCGCACCCTTCCAGCTGACATCGCCCAGGCCCCTTCCTCCTACCCGGGGTGGGGGTGAGAGCAGGCATTTATACAGGCACCTTGGGCAGGGCTGGCCCCACTGCCCAGGCTGCACATTGCAGAGTCGGTGGCCGAGCTCTCAGACCCTCTGGAGCACAAACAGGGGCCTGGACTGGGTCGGGACTGGGCAGAGGCCGAGGTGATAAGACCCCAGCTGCCCTCAGAGTTCACAGTTTGGGGGACAGTCCAGGAGGGCTTCCTGGAGCTGTTGGCCTGCTCCCCTGGTCTGGGCTCCATTCCTGTTGGGAGAGGCCGGTCAGGGAGCAGCCGGGAAGCTAGACAGGCAGCAATGAGGCCTCCTGCTCAGTCTGCCCGGAGCTCTCGCTGCTTCCTGCTCCAGGTGCCGGGGCAGAGCCCGCGGGAGGAAGAGCTGCTGCGCCTGCCTGAGGAGGCCGTGCAGGGGAAGCTGCGCTGGGAGCCAGCCTGGCTAGAGTGTCAGAGGTGAGCCTGCGCTTAGCCACCCGGCTCCAGCGTCAAAACCACCCCAGTTCACTCTGAGGTGACCTCTGCCTGCTTTCCAGTCTGTCTTCCCGGCTGTTGCTGAGGGAGATGAGCACGTGGCTGCTTAAACAGCATCAGCGTCAGCAGCACAGACTGTGGCCTGAGTGTTCACTTAAAAGTCAGGACACTTGTCCATGTCCCTTCGTAACTGCTCCACGTCCAGGGCGCCCAGCACAGAGAACCAATCAGTTCCTTCACCAGCCCCACAGCAGGGCCTTCCGATGGGAAGTGCTCACCCAGGACATAACTTCCTTAAAGTGAATCCTAGCAGTGGGAACGCACTTTTTCAGCTTCTCGATGTTGCCACATTGGTCCCCAAAGAGGTTTCCCAGCTGAGAACCTCACTTCCGTGCACGAGGGTCCGGGCTGTGGGCGTCCTAGGCCACACCCACCCCTTCCCCACAGGCCCTGGACTGGGCTGGGGCTCCAGGTGCTTCATCTCAGGCCAAAAGGGGTTGTGAGGGGGTGTGGGAACAGTGAGTTTGGCTGGGGCCACCCCCGGGCTCCCCAGCAGCCCACCCATGGCTCCTCCTGCTTGTGCCCTGCTGTGGGGAGGATGCGGGGAGGC